TTATCAGTCATCATTCAGTTACTTTTTTTAATTGTTAACTTGGTGGCGACGTTAATGTGAATCTAGCATCATCTAGGCCGGTGGTTTTCAACTAGGGATTTACAGCGCTAACCTATGGAGTTTTACTAATATTCAGATGGTTAGAACCTACTCCAGGTTACCAGATCTCTTTACTTGATAATCCTGGTATATTCTTGATGTAGCCTAACTATATACTTAATCCGTTGCCGTCAATTCCGACTCACAGCGACCGTATAGGACAGAGTAGAACTGCCCCATAGGGTTTCCAAGGAACGCCTGGTGGATTCAAACTGCCGACCTTTTGGTTAGCAGCCGTAGCTCTTAACCACTACGCCACCAGGGTTTCCAACTATATACCAAGTAACTATGTACTTGGTATCATTTACGTTATGTTTCAGGATCATTACATGTTATGTCTGAAGTTCCTTTCTCTCTAAAGATTATGTTCACACATTTTCATAAATTAGGTATAATATCCACTCTTCTTTGAAAATAGGGTTAATCATTATGCTCAGAGATATTCTTCTATCTAAAATTTTTTGAATTGACTTTATTTTGCTTTGCATACCACAGAAACAATCAAATTTCCTCATCAACTGCATTATTTTTGTAATAAATTCTCATCAGCTCTTTCACTTTTAAAAATTGTTAAATGGTAAGTTACCCGTGGCGGTTTCAAGACTTATCATCTACAGTTTTTTTTTACTTTGATGATGCCTTGAAAGTGCCAGAGTATCTCAACAAAGAGAGACTACCTCAGAGACCTACGAAAAAGACTATACCAAATATTTTGTGCATAGACTCCCAATGACACTAGCTTGAACAACTGGACTGAATCAAGATTTCCAGAACTCTCGTGGAGAAACTGAGGGGTGCATGAGATGGCAAACCAAAGACTGAGTGGAACAGAAATTCATCACATACAACTGAGTGGACTGAAAGATTATTATAGGTTTTGTTTAGAGTACTGCTGTTTAATGTTCTCTTTTCCAAATATAAAGAATCTCTTTTTCTTAACTGTAACTCATGATAATTTAGTAGACTATGCTATTGTCATGTGTCTGTCAGTCTGTCGTACTGTGGGGGCTTGCATGTTGCTTGCTGGAAGCTATGCCACCAGTATTCAAATACCAGCAGGGTCATCCATGAAAGACAGGTTTCAGCTGAGCTTCCAGACTAAGACAAACTAGGAAGAAGGACCCAGCGGTCTACTTTTGCAAAGAATTAGCCAGTGAAAACCTTATGAATAGCAGCAGAACATTGTCTGATATAGTGCTGGAAGATGAGCCTCTCAGGTTGGAAGGCACTCAAAAGATGACTGGGGAAAAGCTGCCTCCTCAAAGTAGAGCTGACCTTAATGATGTGGACATCATACTTGGTAAAGCAGAGGGTCAACAAAAAAGAAGACAACCCTCAACGAGATAGATGGACACAGTGGCTGCAACAACGGGCTCGAGTATAACAACGATTATGAGGATGGCACAGGACAGGGCAGTGTTTCATTCTGTTGTACGTAGGGTCACTATGAGTCAGAACTGACTCGACGGTACCTAACAACAACAACACGCTGTTGTGAACAAAAATGAAATGTTTATCTTTTTCTCTCCGCCTGATCCTCTGGAATTGGAAAACTCTTAATGAGCGTTCTTAATTTTATAGCAATGGAATTATTTACATAAGTTTGGTAAGAACTTAATTGGACATAACTGGAAACCTTGGTTATATAACCAAGCTTTGATTAGAACATCATATTTAAAAATGATGCTCATAAGATCAGGTATAACAAGACACTTTTAAGGAGCTAAGGTTGACTTTACGGAGCCAGTGTTTACAAAGTCCTCCCAGGGAAACTGGCCTATACCTGGCTTCCAGGTCCCCAGCCTTACAGGTGAGTAAGGAAGGTTACTTCCTGGCAGGCCCAGGAACCTTATGATATTTTGGGACCTTGAAAAGAGAGGAACTCACCCAAAACTGTGAGTACTATAGGTGAAATCTGGTGACAAGTTCTCGGCTTGGCTTCCTAGCCTCAAGAGGCTGTTATGAGCTCAATCTGAGACTCCTTATGAAAATTCCCAGCAAAGCAGACTTAGAAGGCCATGTGATAAATTACCACTCTTGCTGCACCATGTAAATGGTGATGGACAGCCTTATTTTTAGATCAAGGATAACTCTGCTTTGAGATTGTCTTTTGATCAAAGGAGGGTGACTGCAGAGAGAAAGTTTATGTTTCAATAGAAAATTACAGCAAGCCCTGTGGGCTGTCAGATTCTGGTGTTGTTCATTGTCTTTGAGCTGTTTTACATCTGTGTGAACTATCTACAACTACTGGTTTTGTTTTCTACCTGCAGATTGAGCTGGTTCTTGTTACAGAGCTTTTACCTATGTGTCTACATGTAATCAGTCACCCAAAGGGAAAAATAGACCAACAATGTAAAAACAAGAGAACAAACTATTGCCCATTTAGACGCAGCACTAAGTTGAAGTTTAACAGAATCTCTAACCGGAAAGTAAACTTATAGGTTGCTCAGCTAGGGGAAGAGTTCCTTTAGTCTTGTGTTGGGAGATACACTTTCATATTAAAAACGGTATAAGACAAACACCTGGAGGAACAGAGTAACAGGGGCAGAGGTCTGGGGACCCAGCTTTCAGGGGACATCTAGGTCAACTGGTGTAACAAAGTTTATTAAGAAAATGTTCTGCATCCTATTTTGGTGAGTGGCATCTGTGGTCTTAAAAGCTAGCGCGCGGCCATCTAAGATGCATCAATTGGTCCCAACCCACCTGGAGTAAAGGAGAATGAAGAACACCAAAGACACAAGGAAAGTATTAGCTCTAGAGACAGAAAGGGCCACGTAAACCAGAGACTTCATCAGCCTGAGACCAGAAGAACTAGATGGTGCCTGGCTACCACCAATGACTGCCCTGACAGGGAACACAACAGAGGGTCCCTGATGGAGCAGAAGAGAAGTAGGGTGCAGAACTCAAATGCTAGTAAAAAGACCAGACTTAATGGTCTGACTGAGACTAGAGGAACCCCCGAAAGCATGGCCCCCGGATTCTCTGTCAACCCAGAACTAAAACCATTCCCGAGGCCAAGTCTTCAGACAAAGATTAGACTGGACTATAGGATATGAAATGATACTCATGAAGAGTGTGCTTCTTAGCTCAAGTAGATACATGAGACCGAACGGGCAGCTCCTGCCCGGAGGCGAGATGAGAAGGCAGAGAGGGTCAGGAGCTGGTTGAATGGACATGGGAAATCCGGGGTGGGAAGGAGGAATGTGTTGTCACAGTACAGTATAGGGAGAGCCAATTAGGGTCACAAAACAATGTATGTATGAATTTTTGTATGGGAGACTAACTTGAATTGTAAACTTTCACTTAAAGCACAATTTAAAAAAAATGGTATTAGAGATAGTAGCATTAGAATTAGAAAATTCAGTGCCACAACTTAGCTGCTGAATTGGCCAAAGTAAAACCAGAAGCACCATGGCATTTATTCCCCTAGCTAAATTTCAGTTCTGGGTCTTTGGCTCAGGGGAATTTTTCAAACCTTGGGTATTGTCCACTTAGTCATGGAGTATAGTCACCTTCCTAACATGTGTGAGCTCATGATCTTCACTGCACGTGAGCAGCCGCTGAGATCACAAATGGTACCACCATCAGCAGCCGACAGAAGCAAGGGGGACAACACGCTCAGGCATCAGACTGTGTTGATGAAGATCTCCACTAGTGGCAACCAAGATATCTGGTCAAGCTCTCAGTATCCCTGCGAGGATGATCCCAGGTGGGACTGTTAATAATAAGGGAAACTGAGGCCCCAGATTGATCGTGTCCTCTGAGTACACAGGAAACTCACGGAGGTCACTGACCAATGTGGAATGTACTCATGTTGCTAACAAGGAGACAGGGTGGAGACATGGTGACCATAAAATCTGCAACCCCTTCTGGGATAAGACATCTGTGACAACCATGAGTCCATGTCCACCTTGTGCAAAGAATTTAACTTCACCGCAGAGTGAACTTAATCTTTGCCTTTGTTTCCCGAAAAGACGATTCTAATCCTTTGGAGTTTTCTGAGTGATCGAGCTATTTCGGCCAGGTCCCAAAGCCTGCCTGGCAATCTCAGGAAAGAAAGAAACCATGATTTGTGTTAAGGTTAGACAACAGCTAATATGCTTCTCTGTACTTGCTCCTTTCTCTTTATAATTCTCATTGTAGCCAATCTAAGATGGAACCCTTTGTTTCTCTGAACAGGAAGTTTTCCCTATGTGCATACAAATAAACTGCTTGAACAAACCCTGTGTGATTTAATCTTTGTGCTTTGATTGCTTTTTGACACCCCCAAGGCCCAGCATCATCACTGCCCTCATCCCCCGTGGTTCATTCTGTTCATCTGGCCATGAATGCCACCCCGATGCCCGGAGTTCTGCCTGTCTCAGGGCCTCCACCTGTGCCCACCCACCCAAGGCCTCTTGTGGCTGACTCGCCAGCCCTCTGAGCTCTTCTAACGTGGCCACCTGAGAGAGGCCCGGGCTGGCGTCTCCTGATGGCCACATAAGTGGCTGACTTTGTCACACGCTCATGTATCCGTCCCCTAATTAGGTCTGTCTCGCTGCTCTCTCCCAGCACCTAGAACAGCGCCCGGGTGCTCGACAGGCGTTTCTTAACTGATGAACCAATGCATGGGACTCTGGTGGGTGGGCCACCATGTTAGTGTCCTCACGCAGGCCTGAGCACTGCTCTCCTCTGCGCCACCACGTCCACTTGTGCTGCGTTCACCAGGCTGCCGTTGATTCAGGGGTGGGCGAGTGATCAGGTAGCCTGCCCTCCTGCTCCTGGCCCAGGGGGACCCTCCAGGCCCACTCTGGCCAGACCTGCACCTGTCCCAGCTCTGTCTTGGCCTGTCTCCCGGGCAGGCAGCAGCCTTGGTTGGGAAGCCCCGACACGGGGGTGGGGATCCCCAGCGTGGAGCCTACCTTTGTACCAGCTGACGATGGGCTTGGGCGTGCCTGTCACAAGGCAGGCCAGCTTGACTGTCTCCCCCAGCTCAGCTGTGCAGTCTGCCAGCTCCTCTTCGAAATCCGGGGGACCTGAGGACACACAGGGCGGGGCTCTAGACCTCTGTGGGGGCGTCTGGGCTCATGAGTGGGCCTGAGTGGAGCCTGGGCAGCCCTGGGGAGACCGATGCCCGTCCCTGTGTCAGATTTCAGGGCCCGACTTCTTGCTTTTCGGAAGCCCACGTCAGAGGACAGGGTTGCTAGAGGGACCGACCTCAGTGTCTTCACCCAGGGCCCCACACTCAGGGGCCGGTGGGAGCCGAGGTTGAGCGAGACAGGCTGGGTGTTAGTGGGGAGTGGTGGGGACGGTGAAAAGGAGCGTGTTCGCCCACCGGGTTGGATGGGGAGCGGCTATCTGTCCCTGGACCACTGTCGGGAGAGTGAGGCCCAGGGCTGCTAGAGCGTCTCCGCTCCCTGAACTCTGCTCCAGGGCCCTGTGCACAGAGCCCAGGACACCGCCTGTCTCTTGGCCCTACTCTGTGTGACCCAAGGCCTCCAGGGGGGTTCCTGTCCTCCTCCCCACGCTCAGGTCACGGTCAGCTAACACCCAGCTTGAGGGGACCTGATGTCAAATTGGCTGGAACGCTGAGTGAGTGAGAGGCCTTGGGGAGGGGGCACCATGGAGGTCAGGCTGGCTTCAGGCCCCGGGGCTGCAGCCATTGCGCCCACACTGAGCTGACCCAGGGTGAGGACCAAGCTGTCTCCCCGCAAGAAAGGGCCCAGCCTATTGTGCCTACCCAGGGAGTGGGGCAAGGGCCGAGCATTCAGGCACCCCAGGCTTCAGGGACGCGCCGGTCTGGGTGGCACCCGAGCCAGACAGTTGGGCACCCAAGGGCCTCCCACCCCCACCCAGGAGGCACTCACGCCAGACGGGCAGGGCCAGGCGCTGCTGGATGCTGCAGATCTCCTTCACCCACGAGTTCTTGATGATGACCGTGCGTGCCTGCAGCAGGTACTTGCGTACCGAGTCCTCTCGCTCGTGCCACACCTCGAAAGCACGATCGTCACCCTCCACCTGGTCGTTCAGGTCGATGCTGCTCAGCTGGGGGGGCATCAGCGGGAGGGCAGTCAGCGTGCAGCAGGTGCCCATGCTCCCGAGGGTATGCGTCCAGGTAGAGGTGTGCACCAATGGGGCCATGTCAGCACAGCGCTCTCACCTCCTCGCTCCTGCCCTAGCTGCCCACGGATCCCTCCAGGACACGGGACCTGGGGGCTGCTGCCAGAGCTGGGACTCTGCCCACGGAGAAGAGCAGGGAAAGGCCCTGAGCCCCCCGGGGCCGTCCTGAGGCTCCCTCTGGGACAGCAGCCCCAGGACTGGCCTCTGGTATCAGTCTCTGTCCTTGCCTGGGCACCAGGAACCTCCGTGGACGGGACACGGCCCTCCTTCCCGCACAGCCCCACTTTCTATAGAACGGTCCAGTGGCCACCCGGCAGCCCCGCAAACCTTCATCATATTCCTGAAGACATAGCTGAAGGTGTCGGTCCTCGAGTCCCGCTTGGGCTTACAGATCACCAGGTGGTTGGGGAAGAGGAAGACATGGCGGTTGTGCCCTTTCCAGGGCATCCGGGCACCGGGCGCCCCTTCCCACACAATGAAGTGGCCCTGGGGATGCGGTCAGGTGTGGTCAGGGAGTCCCCCTCACCAGGGTACAGCCCTCCCGCCCCGTGCACCCCACCCTCCACCATCCAGAGCCCCGCACTGGCACCCCGAGGAAACATGGGGGAGGGTCGCGGCCAGACCTGCCGCATGGGCTCGCCCAGGGCCTCCAGGGTGCCCGGGTAGTTCTCTATGAGTGACACGTGCAGCTTGTTCTCGGCGCGCTGGGGCAGGGCCGACACCATGGCGTAGGCCTGTTCCAGCAGCGCGCAGTTCTGCCCGTTCCTCGCCTTGTTACGGATCAGGTCCTGCCACGCAGCAAGGAGGTGGGTCAGAGGCTGCGGCCCCTGAGCCGGGAGACAGGAACGGGGCCGGGGGCAGGGCAGCGGCAGGGCCTGCGCACCTTGAGGATGGTCTGGTACTGCTGGATCCGCTCGGTGGGCTGCTCCAGGTAATGCTGCAGCGGCGGAGGCGGGGGCTGCGAGGGGTCTGCCGCACACAGCACCTCCTCAGCGTATTTCTGTCAGAACCACAGGGCGGGTCTCAGGGCAGGGACGGGAAGTCCCGGAAGGACCCCACTGCACGCACCCAGCCTGGAGCCACGCAGGCTCTGAGGAGGACAGGCGGAGGCCGGGACTTGTGTGGGGCCCCAGGGGGCAGGGATGAAGACAGGAGTCAGGGGACGCTGCCCACCCCGCCACCCCACCAGGCCTGGAGTGGCTGGCAGTGCAGGGAGGGCCCTGGAGAGCTGATGGACCAGGGCCTCGGGAGTGGCCTACCCACAGGACCAGCAACCCATGGGACTCATTAGCCCTCACCCATACTGGGCAACAGTCAGCGTCACCCTCAGACAGGTGGGGGGCATGAGGCTCAGGCAGGTGGAACAAGCAGCCCGGGGAGTGTAGATCTGGGGGGTGGGCTCTGTCCGCTTTCCTCACGAGGCCAGGGCCCAAGGAGGGGTCTAGGCAGGGCTGTGGTGGGGGCTGAGGCTCAGAGAAGATGAACACGGGCTTGGTGGATGATGGATGGGCCTCACGGGGCGGCTGGGGTGAGCTGAAAACTGGAGGCCTAGGAGCAGGGTGGGGCGGGCAGGGCTGGGGCTCCTCCAGGCTGGGGGCAGGTGGCACCTTGTAGAACTCCTGGACAGCCGTGCTGACAACCACCGACTCGGCCTGCACACGGCCCACCAGGAACTCCAGGTACTTCGCAAAGGCTGCCTTGTTCTTGATGAAGCACATGGCCACGTCATCATCACTGTCACACTTCTGCAGCTCCTTCAGGAAGCTGCGTGGCGGGGACGGCAGTCAGGGGTGAGGTCCAGGCCCAGCAAAGCCAGAGGGGCCTCGAGTGACATCAGGACCTGCCACCTGCCCCGCCCACCCAGCCCTGAGCCTTCAGCTTCGGGAGGAAACAGGTAGAGCCCTGCCCAAGGGCTGGTTTCCTGGCAGTCCTGGAGAGCTGAGAGTCAGTGCCAGGCTGCAGGGGGCGTGTGCGTATGGGTGTGTGTGTATGCAGGTGTGCGTGTGTGTACAAGTGAGCACATGTACATATGTACACGGGTGTAAGCACGCATGTGTGTGTGCATGTGGTAGGTATGAACATGGGTGTGGGTGTGCGTGTCTGTGTGGGTGGACACGTGTGCAGTGTGCACGTGTGTGGGTGAGTGTGCACATACATGAATGCATGTGTGTGAGGCGTGTATGTGTGCATGTTGACATGCGTTTCAGGTGTGTGCGTGCAGACATGCATGTGTGTGTGTACATGCATGCAGCAGTACATCGTATGCATGTGCACACGTGTGTATGGGTGGATGTGTATGCACAGATGGTGCGCACATGTATGCTGGCATGTGTGTGTATTTGCAGGTATACACATGTGTGTTGGTGTGCACACATATGCAGATGTGTACATGTATTCGCAGGTTCGAAGGTACATGCAGCATGCACACTTACGTGACTGCACACGCACATAGGCACTGTGTACAGGTCTGAGAACATACATGTGTATGCATATGTATTCTGTATGCACATTGCACAGGCATGCATGTGTGTGCAGATGTGTGTGTGCAGGTGTGCACACACCTGGACATGAGGCACACTCGTCAGCAGGCAGGTATACTGCAGGTGTCCTCGTGGAAGCTCCTCAGGGTACACAGGTGTGCACTGACGGGGTCACGTCAGCGCACCGGTTCTCACCTCCTCTGCTCCTGCTCTAGCTGTCGCCTCTTGCCCGCCCACCACAAGGGCCGGCCCCTGGGTCCACCTGTATGTGGAGCACCCAGCCCACCTGCTGTGGAAGTGGCCGATGTCCTGCACGTTGCGGAAGATGACCGCCTTCTGGCTGGCCACGGCGGCGGGCGCGTGGGGACAGCGCTCCAGGTGCTGCATGTGGTGGGCCTGCAGGAACTGCAGCATGCTGACAAAGGTCTGCTCCGAGCTCAGCAGGTCCTGGATGACGGAACTGGGGGAGCGAGAGGGAGGCCATGGGGGGCCTGCCTCCTGTGCTGGGGCCAGGGCACCGTGTGCTTGGAGGCAAAGTCTGTCCCCTCTCCAGGCCTGTCTCTTCACCTGCTAGACGGGGGCCTGGACTCGGCAACTCCCTCTATTTCCATCTCCTTATTGAGTGCAGCCTGCCACCTACCGTCATAAACGGGCAAGACAGCATATGGCCTCACACGCCTCCCGCCCTGGCAAGGCTGCCCCTGCCGCTGTGAGGTCCTGAGGCAAGGACTCCTACAGCCCCAAGCCTGCTCAGCGTGAGCCCACAGTGAACACCAGGAGCCAGGAGCAGAGTCAGGCCCCTGGCCTGCTTTCCTTCGGCCTCAGCTCCATCCCCAGGAGGCGGCTGTGGAATTAGCTATTCAGAAGTTCCCAAAGGGTTCCAGATTTCCCATAAAACACTATGGCCAGGACCCTAACGCCCTCCAAAGCCAGGGCCTGAGCCCCGTATGAGGGCAAGCGTCAGAGCGCACCGTGAGCCCAGGGCAGCCCTCTCCCACCCAACCCACCTCTCACCTCAGCCTCATCTTGTATTCGTCCTCAGACATGACCTCCCCAGGGAACTCAGGAGCCTCGGCAGTCCCCAACTCGGGCGAGAGCTGGTGAGAACCAGGACTGGGTCATACAGTGGCCTGCCTGCGCCACCACAAGGTGGCAGGGCCGTGGGCAGGGCCAGAAAGGGGTCAGGCTTGCTGTTGCTTCCCCTACCCCCACCTCAGGCCCCAGGCACCTTGAGCCTCCTGTCCAGGTAGGCGGGCGACACCCAGCCTTGCCGTGAGGGGCTGGACTTGGTGGGCTTGGTGCGCACAAGCCAGCGCAGTGGGTGTGCGGAGTCCAGGACCTCCACATACTGGCCCTCCCTCAGCGTGATGGCGTCCTGCTCTGCCCCCAGTGGAAGGTAGTCGGCCGTGACCACATAGATGTCAAAGATCTGGGTGGGAGTCAGAAAAACGCAGAGAAGGCTAAGCAGGCCTCCCAAGGCCCCAACAACCCCTGGGGTCCTCAGAGACCCCAACCTGCAGGGCAGGGGCTGGCCCAGAAATCATTCCACACACCTGCTGGCTCCCACCTCCACGAGAACAGCAGGAATGTGGGTAACCCATGCCTTCCCCCCAGGTCAAGGCTGCCTATCCTTGGTTCTCGCTCACTGCCTGTTTCCCTGTGACCCTACAAATGCACAAACATAGCACCCCTAACCCTAACACGAACAGTAGGCACCAGATGCATCGTCTGAACGAATGAAGGAATGAACAAACAAATGGATTTTACCAGCAGGCAGGCTCGCTGCAGTCACTGGGTGGTGAGGACCACCATTCCAGGCCAGACCCAGAGCCTGCTACCCCACGAGGCCCGTGGGGGCTCTGGTCCCCTCCGGGGGCTCTGGTCCCCTCTGGGGGCTCTGGTCCCCTCCGGGGTCCTGTCCTTTTCTGCGCTCTTGGAGCACTCTAGAAAGCACTGTTTCTTTCTTTTCCTTCCCTCTTTTCTTTTAACTTGGGGGTCAATGGGCATTACATAGAGAAGGAAGCCATCCTGTGTGGGG